CAATTGACAAGACTCACACTCTAAAGAAGACAAATGACTGAAACTAGGAAAGAGTAACTTGAGGTTGCCAAGGCAGGGATGACCAAGGCGACAATGGATTTGGTGAGCAGATGCAACAGCAGGACATGCAGTAGGAGGGTGTGCAGGACTCTCATCACGATCAAGGTAATAAAGGCCATTGTCCTCACGCCCTGTGCCAATCGTCTTCCGCGTCCTCAAATCCTGGAGAATGACAGAATCAGGAAAAAATGAGACAGAACAATTAAGATGTTTGGTGAGTTTACTAACTGACATCAAATTAAAGGAAAACGAAGGAATATACAAGACAGAGGAGAGAGATAAGGAGGGTGAGGGGTCCACTGTACCAATAGTATCTCAAGTCGTGTTTCCATGTTATGTCCAAACTATAAAATCTCCACCTTTTTATAGTGTTCAACTTAAACCCCCTACACTAATGAGAATAAATTCAATAAGTGTAAATATATAATTATGACTTTTAATTTTCTATTAAATTTGAATATTAAAATAAAGGAAAACTAAAAATTAAAATCAATTTTAAGTTTTAAAAAATTTAAAACTTAAGTTAAAACATAACATTCCAAGCATTCTACCCTAGCTATATCAACGAGTCGAAACTCGAAGCTCGGGCTCGGCTCAAGCACAAAAGGTTAGAGCTTTTTTTGACCCGAGCCGAGCCGAGCAAAAGCTCTGCCAAAAAATTAAGGCTTGACCCGAGCTTTCGGCTCGAGCTTTAGCGGCCTGAGCTGAGCCGACTTGATTTTTTTTTCTTCGTATGTAGCTGCCTGCAGGCAGTTAGTTGTAGAGACTTGTTTTAATTTTTATTTTTTACCGTTGTCTTTTTAAATTTTTTTTTAAACGGACTTGGTTCGTCCTAATCGAAAATGGCCCGTGACACGAGCCGACTTGGGCTCAGCCTTTGCCCCAAAATGGGGCTCGGCCCAAGCCTAGGCTCGATGGTTCTGAGCCTCGAGCCGAGCCACTGGCGAATCTCATTACTCAATATTTTGACAATCACAAGATTTTGAAAACTAAGAATTCAACACAACATTGATCTTAATATTCGTGATGTCTATTTTAGATATCATCACTCAATATTTTTTGTTAATACACACAAAATTATCCTAGGAATCTCATTAGGAACCAATCACTAAAACAAACAAGGTCGGATCTTTTGCAACGATCTAGATGACGCATATAATTTCAAATTTTCATAACTTGTTATTGGATTACAATTCAAATAGGATTTAGCTCATGTTTGGTAGAAATTAAAATTTAGATTTGAATTCAAATCAAAGTCAATAATTATTTTCAACCACATATTTTATGAGATTCATAACTTTTCAACAACAGATTTCATCAACTTCTATTAAAATTTATTACAAATTTGATTTTAACCCCCACAAACATGGGCTTAATTTGTTACAAAAATTATAATTCTACATTAATTTTTCAAAATATTGAAATAAAAATCAAAGTAAAAGGGGTACAAGATTGGAAACTGGAGGTGGGTAGAGCAAGGCTAGCGAAGTGTGGAAAAAGAGATTTTTTGGGGGTGGACATGTAAGGAATTAAAATATTCTTCTTTATCGTCTCATTTGGACTCTTTATTTTATTTTTAAAAATAAAATGAAGGTCGAAATGAGACGAGAAGCTGACACGAGAACCTTGCCATCCCAAGACAAAAGGGCAAAATGGTAAACAAAGAAAATCTGGCACAAGTTAAAAATAAAATAAAGAGTCCAAATGAGACGAGAAGCTGACACGAGAACTTTGCCATCCCAAGACAAAAGGGTAAAATGGTCAAACAAAGAAAATCTGGCACAAGTATCAAGGCCTATAAACCCGAAGTCAAAAAGATTAGGGTGACATCTCTCCTCCCTAAAATCCATTCCAAATTTCAAAGTCTCCTCAACAGACATATACATACACTTTAAAAGATTGTATCTATAGGTTGGTATACCTAACCTTTTTCTGAGTTTACAAAGCAACTCAAACCAGAATTCACAACAAAAGAGAGAGAGGAAAAAAAGAAAAAAAAAACAAACGTAATGGGGAGCTCAGCGGTTGCATTGGAGGACATACCGTCAGTAGACATCATGACGGAGCTCCTCCGCCGCATGAAGTGCGCTCCCAAGCCTGATAAACGCCTTATTCTCATTGGTATGCGCTTGTGTTTTGTACCTGTAATATTTATTTATTGGGATCTTGATTTAGAATTTTTTTTTGGGATGGATTATTTGTGCAATGCACATGTTTTGACGTTTATGAAGTTTTAGTTCGTGGTTTGCAAATGGGATCTTGTAAAAGTGGTGGATAATTGTGTTGCTTAATTCATAGATGTGATTTCAGTTAAAATTGTATTGATGGTGCATTATAATTCAGTGCCTCTCGGTGCAAAAGAATCCTTATATATATAGGTATTCATACCAAAAAAAAAAATCTTAAACAAAAGAATCCTCTCGGTGCAGAAGATTGCTTTTAATTTTTCATCTATGTTTTGAACGGAGTAGTGAAAGAGGTTAGGCTTACTTTGTTGTCGTTAAAGTAAAAATGTGATGTTTTGGTTGAATTATGAACATAAATCGTTTAAACTTCATGAATCTGGCACTTTTCTACTCCGTGCATTGATTAGTGAATTATTGAATCCAAGTTTTTTTTTTGTAAATTAAGCATTCTATTCCTATCAGTTCCAGTGGGAGTTCCAAGTTTCTGGTCTCGCTCTCCCAGGGTGGGTTGAGGCATAGTTCATTGGAAAACTTAATGGTCATTATTGGTTGGAAAACAAACTTCGATATTGCCCATTAGACATTAAAAGCTGCTACCAAATATTTTGTGTCTGTGAATTTGTTGATGGAGACGTTAAAATCACTTTTTTTTTTCTGTTTAAAGCCTAAAGGTATTTTGTGTCTGTGAATTTGTTGATGGAGACATTAAAATCACCTTTTTTTTTTGTTTAAAGCCTAGCGATGACAAAAAATGTGTACTCAAATGTATTTCTATATACCCAAGGAGATTGACATTATTCACAATAATAACACGTCAGTTCATCTCTCTCCCAATGTAAGTTGACAGATACAATTGCCCATGACCAACAAAAGGAAAAGGAGTCAACACTACATTATAATGTAATTTAGGATGGAGTCAACTAGCACTCAATTATTCCTTCATCTTTATTCCCAAGGGTGGATTGGATCAAAACGACTTTCCTGTTGAAGACTTTGTGCCTGTGCTAATTCCTAACTGCACTGAATTTCCGTAGCCAATTTTCCATTTTGGATAGAAGGGTTAATTTTCAATGATTCGATTAGAGTAACAAATCCTAGTGTCATTCATCTTTGCAATGGAAATAGAGAAATCCGATATCTCCGGGAACCCTCAACCGGCATTCAAATATTCTCAATATGTGATAGTATGGGTGTGAAATTTAGTACAGTTTTAAAGCACATAATATGAAATTGGGAAAGAAAACAAAGAAAAGTCTGGAATGATAAATTCTTATTATTATTTCTTTTATGGGGGAGGGGAGGGGGAAGCAAGTAAACTGCTCGTGGATATTTTTCAGATATTCTTATCCTTTTAAATGGCATTTCCCAAATCCAGGGGGCGGCTTCCGGCTGTATACCTTCTTCCATCTACCAGTGTTTACTACATTATAAGTTGCATTTGGTGCACGTTTTTTATCTCATAAATTTCATAATCTTCAAACTCTCCAAATTATTGGGAATAAGACATGCATGTATTAGGGAGATTCTCATTTGCTTAGTCAGACTTAACTATTGTCAACAATGTTAATGAGAATGAGAATCGGATTCATGGCAGGTCCACCGGGTTCTGGAAAAGGTACCCAGTCCCCTATCATCAAGGACGAGTACTGTCTATGCCATTTGGCTACTGGTGATATGTTGAGAGCTGCTGTTGCAGCTAAGACTCCTCTAGGAATCAAGGCTAAAGAAGCTATGGACAAGGTAAAACTTTGCTCCTATGATACTGAAGGGGACAGCATGTTTAGCAAGATGGACTGGAAAGTGTTTGGGAGTATTAAGAAAGAAGAAAAGGCTAAAATTTTATCCATTATAGTATCCAATACTGTAGCGTGTGCCCAAACGTATGCTAGTTAAAAAAAATTGCTCCTTCCCCTTTCCAGACATTTGCACTGTTTTGGTTGAATCTTTTGTAAACGATATTTTTCTCTTCCTCTAGGGAGAACTTGTTTCTGATGACTTGGTTGTCGGAATAATTGATGAAGCCATGAAGAAGCCTTCATGTCAGAAGGGATTCATTCTTGATGGTTTCCCAAGGACAAAGGTTCAAGCAGAAAAGGTCAGATGCCATTATATCAGTAATGTGTTAATGCTATGCTCTCTACCTCTCTCTTTCTCACACTCATAAATACACTGAATTTTATAGTGTGCTTTATTCACGTTCTCTATTATTATTATTTTTGTTTTTTAGCTTGATGAGATGCTCCAGAGGCAGGGAACTAAGATTGATAAGGTGCTAAATTTTGCAATTGATGATGCTATTTTGGAGGAGAGGATTACTGGTCGGTGGATCCATCCTTCAAGTGGTAGGACCTACCACACAAAATTCGCACCTCCCAAAGTTCCCGGTGTTGATGATGTAAGTTGATTTGGTTTTCTTGAGGTCTTTTGGCCAATTTATCTCGCATTTGGCTTCTTGATCTCCCAAACTTATTTGCCATTCATGGCGGCCAATAAAAAAATTCTGAGCCGTGGACTAACATGGGAAAGTGTGAGAAAACCCAAGGAGATATCTCATGATTTGCCCGCTAGATGTTAATAAGAAATCAAATTTAAAGAATATCTAGTACTTATTAGTGATTAAATATGCATTCACCAATCCCTACTTTTTGTTGCAGGTCTCAGGAGAGCCTCTAATTCAACGGAAAGATGATACTGCCGAGGTTCTTAAGGCAAGGCTGGAGGCATTTCACCGGCAAACTGAACCCGTGAGTGTTTATTGCCAGATCAAATTTCATTAAATCATGTTAAGTGACATTTTGGATCATGGTGGTGCATAAATTCTTTGATTAAAAACATAATTAGCAAACTATTAAATTGCACATGATGCTAATGCAGAATTGTCTACTTCTATCCGAATAAATAGTGCTAATTTACTGTAATTTCTGGATCAATTTCACCTTTTTTATCAGATAAAAATAACTTGTTGATTTTGAAATTTATAAGAAACTTGCATTCTGCACTTCGTGAAAAAGTAAAACATAAGCACCTGAGAGTGGATTGTTTTGACACCTCATGGCTGGCCGTCCTTCGACCAGCC